GTCCTAGAGAAGATAACGGAGGCATCTGAAAGCCGCATCAAGGTGAGGTTGTCGTGCAGATTGCATAAATTGACTAAGATGTTGAACCGCAAAGGAGAGGTCTGGGCGTGTATGTGTGAGAAAGTTCACTTTACCCAGCAACATACGATACAAAGTTGGATTTGGTAAAAGTTCCCCCTCATCAAGTTTGAGTCTTGTGGAAGGATCCAATGGAGAAGACATTGGCGTCAAGTCTGTGCAACCAAAGTCACTTAATAAATCCAACTAAATTTTCTTTGTCCCAAAATTATACCCTGAGGCTCTCTGATAATTTCCATGCCTAAGAAATAATGAGCATCACCTAAATCCTTGATTTAAAACTCAGAGTTAAAGAAAGAACTTAAGAGACTCAAGCTCTAAAGGATCATCCCATGTTAGTCGAATGTCATCAACATTTACTACTAGGATAGACACCTTGCCTTGAACTTTCTTAAAGAAGAGAGAATAGGCGTTAAGAGAATGAGAATACCCCTTGAAATTCAAAGTTGCAGTTAGGCAAGCATACCATTGTCTTGAAGCCTATCACAAGCCATATAAAGACTTTTTGAGCTTGCATACATGAGATTGAATGGGTGCTTGCATCCCAATAGGGAACTTCACATAGCCTCTTCCTGCAAATCACCATGTAAGAAGGCATTGTTCACGTCTAGTTGTGAAATATGCCAATTCTTCTTCACTACCACAACCCAAAGACACCGAATAGTTGTCATTTTGACAACAGAGGAATAGGTTTCTGTGAAGTCTACACCTTCCCTTAGAATATCCCCCCCGCACAACTAGTCGTGCCTTGAATCGCTCAACTGTTTCATCTTGTTTATACTTGATTTAATAGACCCACTTACAAGGCAAAGCCTTCTTACCTTCGGGTAATTGAACTATGTCTCTTGTATTGTTTGTTTCTTGTGCCTCAAATTTCTTTGTCATGGCTACTTGCCATCCAGGATATAAGCAAGTCTGAGAGTAGGAGGTAGGCTCGGTGACATATGAGACTGAATTTAGAAGAGACTGATTAGTACAAGACAAGGCAGACAAAGGAAAAGATGGAGGAGAAACAACAGCAACGAAACACTGTTGAGTGAGGTCAGTGAGAATTATAGAGTTGCAAATATAGTCATTTAGATATTAAGGAGGGTGATGGACTCTAGAAGAATTTTTGATTGGTATATGTGGTGATTGAACAAGTGGGAGTACCATCTTTTGTCGAGGCTCAAGAGGAGGAAATGATGAGTTTAAGGTAGTAGGAGACGAATGAGAGAGCTAAGGTACATCAAATTGTGGATTAGAAGAGGAAACATGAGTGAGAGAGTAATCTGTAGAAGCTGGAATGGATTGGGTGAAAGGAATAGAAGGGACAGTAGGGAAGCATGGGAAAATAGATAGATGTTTCCATGGAAGACAACATCTCTTGACACAAAAAATTTGCTTGTAGTTAGATCTAAAACCTTGTATCCTTTCTTCCCAAAAGGGTAACCCAAGAACACACATTTGATTGATTTAGGGTCTAACTTGGACCTATGGACAGGCAAAATGGAAGCATAACAAAGACATCCAAAACACCTTAAAAGAGAATAACTAGGTGGACGACCAAATAAGATCTCATAAGGAGTTTTCATGTTTAAAAGTCTAGTATGGAATCTGTTGATCAAAAAAGTCGTTGTTAAGAGACATTCTCTCCAAAAATGTGTAGGAACTTTGGATTGAAAAAGCAAAGACCTACAAACCTCTAATAGATGTCTGTGCTTTCTCTCCAAACACAAGAAGTTTGATGTATTATACCCTTAGAATTAAAAAAATCAGAGGTTGCCTTACTACTACCCAATTCGAGAGCATTATCACTCCTAAGAATTTTGACTTTATTGTGAAATTGAGTTTGAATCATGGCTAAAAATTGTTTCAATACAGTGAAAACATTAGATTTGGTGCTTAAAAGATAGGTCCAAGTAGCTTAACTATGATCATCAACTATGGTGAGAAAATATTTGAAACCATCATGTGTTTGAGTCTTGTAGGGACCCAAGTATTAACATGTATGAAATCAAAAATATGTTTGGACTTAGTGGCACTGGATGCATAAGGTAACTTAGTTTGTCTCGACTTTGCACAAATATCACAAGGAGAAGAGACTGAAGTAGTAGGAACAAAGCATAAAGGATTCTTGGTTCTGTGATTCCACCAATTTAGTATAGTGAATCTCAAATTGATATTGTTGGTGCTTATGCCTAGAGGTCCTGCAAAATATATGGAAGTCTCTTTTTCCTCCGCGATATTGTAATACCAAGACCAGTAAGAGAGAATGGACTTCATCCATTCGGACAAAACCAAAGCCCCCCTAACCAGTCGTACTCTAATCAGGAATTGAAAAACTTCGAGATCACTGAGTTTCTCGAGAATCGAGGGGTCAAGAGCCTAATCAAGTCCCTCACCATACATTTCGGTCATTAACATTAGTAAATTAGGTGAAAGTGCGGAAAGAGAGGAATTTGAACCCTTGGTAAACAAAATCCTACATAGCAATTCAAATGCTATGCCTTAAACCACTCGGCCATCACAGCTCTATCAAAATAGAGTGAAAGCAAGCAAGAACGAAATAAGCGCTTATCATATCGACCAAATCTACTATCCTAAAATCAGAACAACCAAAATTTCTTAGCAAATTTCCAGTACAAAACAAATGATCCACTGATTCAAGGTCAGTGACCACTCTGTTTGAATTACAACAATAGCTTTTTGGATCCATTGGGATCCCAAATCTCGCGATCCTTTGGTCTGTAGACAACTTGTTATGGATGGCCCTCCATGTAAGAAAAGACATCTTGAAAGGGATGTTTTGGTGCCACAGTCTACTATCCATGTTGTTTGGGATCCTTTGTTGTCTCAGTTTCCTCCACGCCGATCCTATAGTGAACTTTCCAGTGTGTGAAAGAGTCCATATAGGCTTGTCCTCCTTGTTACAAAAGTCAGTAGGGCTATGTTGATTATAGACCACTTTTTTTCACTTTTTCAGGGATAGAGATATTGAGCATGTTCCACTCTCATTCACCATTGTGACAAATATCTTTCAATTGAATATCAATGATATCGACATTATTGTCCACCTGATGATAGAAGGTATCAAGATTACACCAATTATCATACCAAAATGAGATATCTCCTCTACCAATGCTTCAAAAAATATTATGATCAATCATATCTTTTGTACTGCAGAGCTCTTTCCATCTCACTAGTTGTCCTCTTTGCCATTGGATTATTTGAACAGGGTGGTCATTTACCAAGTATTTAGCTTTCATGAACTCACTCCATAAGGAATTAGAGATTTTAAGTGACCACCACCGCTTAGTGATGTTTACCACCATTCTCATTGTATGGGTAACATAATAAGTTGTTCCAGAATGCCCAGTGATGTTTACCACCATTCTCATGGCTAGACCAAGAAAATATTGTCAAATATTTTTCAATAATCTCCGGTGGATAACAATTTTGAGATCATTATCTCTTTCATACATTTCAACAAAAATATCCTTAAAATGGTAGCATCATATGTTTCTTGGAGGAATCACTTCATACTAAAAAAAAAAACTTTATAGGCAATCATCTCTTATGTTCTTGCGAAAGGATTTCATTGAAGATTCTTCTCCAAAATCAAGAGCAAACTTTTGTAATTGGTATACGATTGTAGATTGTTTCGTCTATCGAAGGCAATCAATGTGTCAGTCATTCTCCCCCATTAGACTTGTCAATCTTTTGCTCTTTTTCCTTCTCTCTTCCAATACCCCCCCTACTGTATTTGACAGGGCTGGATGATCAGCAACACTGGAACTGAGACACGGCCAGACTCCTACGGGAACCAGTAGTGGGGAATTTTCCGCAATGGGCGAAAGCCCGATGGATCAATGTCACGTGGAGGTAGCAGGTCCACGGGTTGGATATTGTTGGTGGGATGGTGACGGGAACTATCGACTTCTCACAACTTGAATTTTATTATATCAAAGTAAGGACTCGCTTTGGTCTTACAATCTTGATCACACTTGTTGCTTGCTTCAGCAACACTCTTTACTTGAACATACACTCTTGTTTGCTCTCTTACTTTCTTTCTTTGTTTGGTTACTTACATTGTTTCTTTCTTGGTTGCTTACAACTCAAATGGACCACCTCTATTTATAGAAGGTGATGGAACAATCTAGCTAAGCATATTTTTCTACTGTATTCTAGAATATTCCTTCAACTACTTAATTCTAGTACTACCCTATATATCTAGAACATTTCTAGACTATTTTCTCTACAATACTTATTCTAGGGATCTTCCTTCAATTCTATATAACTCCGGAATATTCTAAATTTTTCTTGACTTATCTTAAGTAAATAATTAAGTTGGTGATGAATTGATCTTACAAGAATAACCCAACGAACCTAGCCCATATTGACAACATTAATTTTCTCAAACAAACTATTTTTCTTCATACCAAACACACCCATATATCTTGACTTAACTCATCTTACCCCAGTAACACTTTTGATGGGTTAGTGTCCTGCCCAAATTCAGCTAAACTTGCTCATATGACTCCCCCCCAAATGAAACGTCTATGTGTTGCTCATCAGTGGCGAATTCAGTGACTCTTGATTCACATTTTATATTTATGTTGGGAAATTCATTATATATATATAAAGTTATTCAAAGGCTTACCAAAAAAAAAAATTCAAAGCAAAATGAACGACAATTTAGAACCCATAAACTAAACCTCTGGAACTAAAACCAAATATGTTACACTCCCCAATGCCAATTGATTTTTAATCTGATGGTTCATGAGATTAATTTGAGTCCAAGAGATGCTTATGGGTTAATATTTTCTTTAATTTACTTTTACTTTGCGGAAATTAAAGGAAGAGCAACATCAAAGATAAAGTATTGGGCATTGGCACTTATCTAGGCCATGCATTATATTATTATTATTATTATTATTATTATTATTATTTGGACTAAGGTCCTTATTATTACATAATACATAGTCATGATTTCATTCGAGAGTAAATCGAGGCATACATATAATATATGATGACGATCAATAAGTTTGGGTCTTTCCATAGGGAGGATGAAGTTTGAACTGAAAGTACATTGGTATCTCCGAGAGACCCAAACGATAATATCCACTTTGACGAAAACGGCCAATATCGTAGCATTTTATGCGGGGACAAAACACTAGCTTATACTTGTTATTCGCAACAGGCTCAATTTGGAACCATCTACTCACATCAATGGGATTTACCAACTCTCCACCCGTGCTAATGGTGTGGCCATTTAGCGGCACGTCTTCACGAAGGTGGTCCACCTTCCACACCATTAGGTTAGAACATGGATTAAAATTATCAAGATAGAATCTGATGTTTACGGGAGAGTATGCTACAATATGCTCATATGTTTGATCTTTAGGCATAAAATGAACTGCGATACCATTGTCTGTAACATCTTTTGATTGCACGACCGATGTTGGACAAGTGTTTTGTGATTGATCCCCGAGATTAGCAAGGCTTACGCCTCCATCTCTCATAGTGTTGTAGGCCGGAAGTATGTGATACCTACGGCTTGCGTTGAGGGGTTTACCATCGATATCAAGTACATCTACCAATAGTTGGTTGTTGTTGCAAGTTGCCAATGGAAGGAATATTGCAAGGGAAACAAAGAGTACTACTATGATCTTCATCTTTAGTTTTTTTTTTTGTTTTGATGATTTATCCTTTCTTGCTTACCCCTTCTTTTTATAGACAAGATTTTGTTCTAATGTGAAACACGTTTGATTTATTTGTTTATACTTGAAACCTTAAAGTTAAATTTATCTTTAGGAAATTCAATATATATATATATATATATATATA